TATCAATTGATGATTGCTATTATAAAGAACAGGAAGTTCCTGTTCGTATTGTATTGTATAAATGTGGTGTACGTCTAATTTTTGTATGCATGTATTTTACATGTTTGTTAATAAAATCTTTTAAAAAAAAATTCAATCTCAACAGAGGGTGTTTTCCCGAGTAGGTTACGTCATGTCCCTAGATAATTCCTCATTTGGGGAAAAAGAGGAGGAAGACACACAGGATGGGTGGAATGGAACCAAATTAAGAAAAACATCAGTTTTATTGATGTAACCTAGAGACGTAGAGATTGTCTTAGGAAAGATGTTTCTTGAAAATAGGAAACTTGGAGGCTTTCATGATCAAAAGCTTGGATTGGGTGGAATCTCATAAGCACGCATGTACAAATAACTCTTCTTTTCTAATCCCTCCAGTGTTTGCTTATACAGGGTGTACTAAACATCAGTTCCCATGGACAACCTATTATATAAATTACATTTAAATGTTCAAATTGGTTGCCATTTTCTTCTAAATGCTACTCAACTCTTTTGATGCATGACCTTTAAACACTCCCTAAGTACAATAAAACTTTATCTGGAGAAAAATAATAATAAAATATGCCCTGATTGGCTGGGGGGACCTGACTTTTGGGTTAATTTATGTATGTATGCATGTATGCATGCATGCATGCATGGGTGTGTGTGTGTGTGTGTTTATATAGAGATACAGATTTATAAATATGTAGAGATCCAGTAAACACAGACAAACACACGTTTTCTGTTTCAGTTAAAAAAAAGAAAAGAACTCAAGCAATTCTTTGATTTGCTGTGCTCAACCTTCTCTTTTAGTGGACTGACTCCAAATTCTGTTGTCTTGAGACGACTCAATTTTTCTTGCCATGTGTACAAATCTGCCTTGACTCATGTCTCTGTTTATCTGTGCATGACTTAAAGTCTGCCTCTTGATTATACTGTAAGGTTAACCCTCTGCTTGTCGGCTAAACTGCTCTGATTACTGTCCTTGTCAGCAATGCAGCAGGGCAAGGCCATCTCGGTGAAAAAGAGGAAGCTGGGTCAGGCTGGGAACAGCTAAAATCCAGGCCAAGGGTGTCAGGATTGGTCCTGCCCCAGGCTGCTCCTTGCAGGCAATTGACTGGATAGACATGCTCGCTCAATGCAATTCCGGCTCTCTCACAGAGACACACACACACAGAATTCTGATTCCGGTTGGCTTTGCCTCCAAACTCTGCAATGTGAATTAGCAGTTTTGGAAACTGACCTTTTGGCTGTGTGACTGTAGCGGGCACAACGTTGCCCATCCCATGCGCAGTAGGGGTCCCGAGCCAGACAGCAATCAGCACAGGCTTCACCATATTCCCGGCATCGGTGGAGAGTCAACTGGGAAACGCCCATGTCAGAGGAGACATAGAGCTGTTGCTACACAAAGAGGAGAGTGGGATAAACCTGGGCCTTTGCTACTCATTCCACTGTTCCCACATCCCTTTGCCTGTGATGAACTGGAGGCATTATTCCTTCCCCCACTGACAGGCAACTCTTATATAGTAACTCTTTAAAGGTAAAGGTAAAGATTCCCCTTGCAGATATGTGCTAGTCATTCCTGAATCTAGGGGGCGGTGCTCATCTCCGTTTCAAAGCAGAAGAGCCAGCGCTGTCCGAGGACGTCTCCGTGGTCATGTGGCCAGCATGACTCAATGCAGAAGGCGCACTGAACGCTGTTACTTTCCCACCAAAGGTGGTTCCTATTTTTCTACTTGCATCTTTTACGTGCTTTCGAACTGCTAGGTTGGCAGAAGCTGGGACAAGTAACGGGAGCTCACTCCATTATGCGGCTCTAGGAATTCAAACCACCAAAGGGCCGACCGTTCTGATCGACAAGCTCAGCATCTTAGCCACTGAGTCACTTGGTGTCTTTGTGCCCTTTCTAATTCCTTGGCAATATATATCCTGAACAACCACCTACTCGCTTTGAGGATATCCACAGTGTCTTCACTGGAGCTGGTTCCTATAAGGCAAAAAATAAGAGGGGGAGAAAACCTTGAGAAGAGCAAAAAACGGTGAAGGTTAAACAACACAACAAGGCGCAGTCATGATTACGTAGTCTTGTCTATTTGCTCACCCTGAACACCTCCACTTCCTCCAGAGTCAGTTCTTCCAGTATCCCTTGTTCCTTGGGCAACACAATCACCTTTTGCACTGTGCCTTGATCTGGAGAGAGAAGAGAGAAGCATTAATCAGACAAGGCTTAGGCTACCCAGTGAAGGGCATAGGACCGATCCATTTCTGAGGATAATTAAGACAGCGCTGTTTACCTTCAAAACCCCCTCCTGTTTGGAAATGGAAAGAAAATATGGTTTTGCCAGCAAAGCCCCTTCCCTCTAAATAGCAATGAACTGAAATGGGAGCCTGGAGCAGAGGGGGGGGGGAAGGAATATGGGAACTATTTTACAGTGGGCTCCCCTTCTATGGAAATCTTTCCTTGAAAGCTGTAAATAGGAGTTTGCTTAAAAAACCCTTTCTTGTCCCAATATTTTTGGAAGATTGTGAGCAAATAGTGATTTATCTCAGATGTGAATTCAGCATTTATTCTATGCTTGAGGCACTTAATGGTCTATTTAGCTATAGTGCCTGGAATATTATCCCCAGCACTTTTTCAGAAGTTCCTCTGCTCCTGCCAAAAACCTCATAAACGTCCCATCCATCTTGGAGAGAAGGCCTTCTTCTCTGGGGCAGAAATCCAATGCTTTGCTCTCTCTGATTTTTAGAAAAGACACTAGAGCAATTCTCCTTCCCAGGATACTCTTTGCTCGTGTTCTTGGTTCTCCTGTTCTGTTGCATCCTATCAAGAGGGATGCCTTGATTTAATTCTCCAGCTTTGTCAACTATTCTGATAATTTGGCTAAAGAAAACATATGTTTTCTACAATTTGTCAATTTAATTTAATTTTTTTTACAAAGCTTGCCTAGTTCCACTTAGTTACTATAATCAGCTTGGTGGTTTAACTACAACCTGCTAATGTAACCCTGTCATAGCTGTTGGAATAACTTCCTCTATCTGATCTCACACTGTCCAATCATTTAGTAACTTTTAATTGGGTGTTTCCTTTGATTCTGATCTTGGGTGAATTGAATCTGGGTATATATTTGTTGATCTGACTGTAACTACTTTCTGTTATTCTCATAATTATTATTGAGAATCAGAAATAAATTTAGATTACAAGTCTTTTTGCCTTTTAGAATGAGAATAGCAATAGCAGTTAGACTTATATATCGCTTCCTAGGGCTTTCAGCCCTCTCTAAGCGGGTTCACAGAGTCAGCATATCGCCCCCAACAATCCGGGTCCTCATTTTACCCACCTCGGAAGGATGGAAGGCTGAGTCAACCTTGAG